ACTGGACGGCAGAGGTGCTTTGAAGCAGCAGGCTGAGAGACCCAGTCGGATACCTTTCTCTCTGTCAGCCCCACCCAGGTGCTCCGTCTTTGTTTTGCACCTTCTCAGCAACCACAATTCTCCAGAAAGGAAGTGACGGCGGACTCAAGGGGGTGCCGGCAAGAGTGATGTTGATGGACGGTTGAATATTTTTTTTTATGACAGCCTACGTAAATTAACTCATCGAGCTGGTCTGGCTTCTCCCAAACCTGCAGTGTGTGCACCTGTCCCACGTTTGCTCGTGCTCCCCACACGCCCCCTGTACCCTAATATCCTCCTGGGCTTCTCTGTGTGGACGCATTATGCCGAATGTGCTTTATTAGATGAAGTGTAAAATTCTGAGGCAGTAATACTCATGTCTAATGGGACTGTATGATTGATTTACCCTCAAGCGCCGTTGTGTGATTTAAAGGAGCACAGGAGCTCAATTTGCATTTATTTATTTACATTTGTTTAGTCCCATGCGATGTGTTAGTGATTCAGATAATGCATCACGTGCGTTGTCACTTGCACCTCACTTTGGGCAAAAGCATCTGCTAAACAGATACGTAAATGTAGCTGCTATTTATGTCATGACACCATGAGGACCAGATTCCTACAGGGTGGGGGCAGAATGCAGCAGCCCCCAGTGCTGATGAGGCTTAAGCCCCGCCTGGTGTTTGGCTGCCGCCGGACGTGTCTCGGGGCAGATCAGCGTGTCGCAACCCTGACTTTGGTGCAGGGAGACGCGTCCTGTCTTTCCCGGCCTGCATGGACACGCTGTCGCCTGTGACTCACTTCCTGCTCGCAGGCCATCCACCAATGAGGAGAATGAATTCCTGTTAGGTTACTTTGCTGTTACATGCATTTGTGGTATATTAATATGGACAGTTTGCTCATTCATTTATTTCCATTTTATTTCGTTATTATTTAAACAAAAGTCACAATTTTACTATTTTGGCTGCGTGATATGGTTTAAGCATCGTCATGGTGATATGGGCACGCACAATAATCACATTGCATGTGTCAGCACTGATTTGTGTCTGTTGACACAACTCGCAGCTACACCAAGTTATTTGATACACTCTATCGGTAGATAAGTTCTCGTTGGCTGTAGTTTATTTTGAGTTTTTTTTTTTTATATATATATATATATATATAAATATCAGAGTTACTCCTGGACATTTCACATATCATGAGGTGATATCGTGGTGCCCTAATTACTATTTTACTTATTTTCCTTATGTATTTTTCTATCATTTACTATAACTTGCATGGAAATTAATTTGTTTCTCAAAGCCCTCAAACTCAACTGTGTGCTGTTTTCGCAAATCAGTGCTTCATTGAATAAGTTCTATCGATCTTTTGCTTGCACATACATACTATGTGTTCTTGCCAGTCCTCCCGTATGGCCTGAGTTGATGCTTCCCTGGACCATTAGAGAGTCAAGTTGTGTCTGATGAAGGTTCTGGTGCCGCTCTAGGGAAACGAGCCCCAAGGTTCAGCGGATTATCCCAGGATCTGGTGAAAGCTTTGACTGCTATCAAACGATCCGGTTTTATATTTCAAGGATTATCCTCCCGGCTCTGGGCTGGTCTTTGATCTTTATCCAGGCCGTCATAGCGCCTCCTGGAGCCATGACACGTGTAAAGCGTGTGAAGGCAGGCCTGCAGGCTGCACAAGCTCCCCATTGAGAGCCCCATCCCCTGGTCTGCACGTCCCGGCCCGGCAGCGGGGGTGTCCGCGTTGGGTCTTGTGATCCTCAGAGCTCCACAGAGCCCCATTGTTGAGCCGCCTTGCCGGTCAGCTGACTGGGCCTGGACAGGATTCCTCTCCTACTGCATTCGCTCTGTCGACTCCAGTCCCCGTTATAGGAAGGTTCTGATCAAGTCCATTTCTTTTGTCTCCTCTTGGCCTCAATCCTTGAGATGACGGCAGTCCTTCCAGTCACAATGCCTTCAAAATGAGTAGTTGGCATAGTTCATATTTACTGAAGATCATTGTTTATGGTGGATCATCTTGATTCCCTGCCGAGAGTCGCCAACGTGAAAATATCGACACGTCTCATGCGCGGGTGTCGGAAACGGAGCTCGAGATTCCGCTGCATCCGAAACCCAGCTGGACGTGCCTCTGGACAGGAGTGACCTGCGATCGGAGGGGCAGAGTCAGAGGGAGGGGCAGAGTGGGCCCCCTCCCCACCAAAAGATTCCTTCGCTGGAAGTTATTTGCGGGGCAGCTGACGAGCCTTTTCTTCCCCCGGTGACACATGGCACGGCGGCCTTTTGTGCGCAGATGAAGGGAGATTGTGAGTCAGTGCAAGCATTGTGGGAGAAGGTGATGAAGCCAGAGCAGCTGGCGAAGGCCGCCCGCGGAGGCCAGGCCCGCCTGGGAGACCAGCAGAGAGGAGGCTCTGTCTCCTGCTCCAGCAAGTCGGCAGCATCGCCACCTCCAACTGTCTAAAACCCTGTATTGGCGTACGTTTCCACGGTTACGCTTTGTGGCGATGTAGACATTCTGAGCTACCCATAAGGCTGTATGAGAGCTGTAGGTAAGTTACGGAGCCTGGTTCGTATGTCTTCCCGGTGTCCCGAGTGTCCGATGGCCCCCGGGGGGCCCCCGCCACTTCATCCATCCTCCTTCGGAAACCTTGCACGTCCTCCTCTGTTTTCTGCAGAATTCCCCACAGTCCCTGGCGTAACCCAAGCTCTCCATAAGCCCTGAACTCCGTCTAAGCCCCAAATTATTTTTAGACTGGCCTCGTTACAGTTTTTGGGTGAGAACCACACGCAGCACCTCTGTTTCCTAGTCCCCACCCCACCCCAGCTCTGACCTCAGCTCCTGAAAACCATAACGATAACATTTTGCTAACTGAGTCAGACTTGGAGTTTACAGTCCAGCGATTGCTTGCGCAGTCAGCAGAAATGCAGTTTGTTTTGTAGTCGACATCAAATATCTGATGGATTCGGCTGTACGATTTCTGAATATCTGAAGCTGGGGCCAGTGGACATGCAACCATTTTAAAGGATAAGAATAACAGTCGTTGAAACATTTTCTTATTAGATGTTGTAAATACGCTTCTCGGAGATGCCATGGTGTGGGATAGATGGCACGTGCCCGTTGGCCTGGGCAAAATATAATCACTGTGGTTACCGGTGACCGAGGGCTGTGTGGTTTTGTGCATTGTGCATTGTGTTATGCAGGCAAAATGTCAAAAGAGATTGTTATGCAGTTTTGTAGATGTCTTAAGCCAATGAGGCGTGCTTTAAGACTGGAAATGATCAGCATGACTGTTTTTTTTTACTGTTTTTACTGTTTGACTTGCTGATAGCAAGACTTTGGGGGGGTGGTTTGTCTCAAGGCCTTTGTGTCTGTCAGGATGCCAGCTTGCATTTCTGCCCCCTCCCCCCAGCCCCTTCCCAAGCTGACAGGTGGTCAAGCAAAGACATTGGACCTGTTTGTCAAGCATCAAAGGAGCTCCCACAACCTTAATAGAGCTGACGTAATAGTCACCACTGTTCTCATTCTCTTCCGTGATAATTTGTCGGTACAAAAGCTTGGCCTGGCAGGATCAAAGGGCCGTGCCAGTGACCGGCTTGCCAATGACCGTGCCGTCGCTTCGGTGACCGTTCTCTGGGGGGGCAGCCGGCCGAACGGGAGGCAGCAGAACCCGGAAAAGCCTTGTGATTCATCCCAGGCAGGCTGGTAAATTGGGCGTTTGCTGTCCTGCGTCCTCACTTGCTTGTTCTGTGGGCTTCACCATGCAATGTTGACAGATGGCACCAAAATATCAGACGTGGAGTCCTGTTTTGTTCTCTTAAAGATCATTTATGATGAAATGGAATATAATTAGGCATCTAGAAACAGCTGTAGTCAAGCTCCTTTATGATTCCTTTTCTCTTTTCGTTTGTTTTTATATTTTATTTCATCCATGCAACTTAATGTTTGTTGGGGTTTAAAGGTAAAATTTGCTTTTGCTGGATATAAGCTGGATATGTCTTTATTTAAACTGCAAATTTTAACACTCTTGTAGCTCAACAAGTGGAACATTATGGTAACAACACAAAGGTCATGAGTTCAAATCCCAGGGAGCGCACATAAATTATAACCCTTCCCTTTACTGTAAATTACTTTGTATAAAAGCGTCAGATAAATGAATTAAATGTCAATTTTAGTCTCACTTCAGGTCTTGGTATGCATGGTGTGTGTGTGTGTGGGGGGGGGGGTGTTCAACCTGGTAATAATAATTTGCTAATCTGTCCCATTACGAGTCACTACTTTTGCACCTCCGGCTCCCTGACGTAATGAACAAAGCAACGATTATCCGTCAGATTATGCAGCATTGAACAGCTTGGCATCCGAACCCGCTTTGCAGATTTGGAGTCTCTGCATTTTTCTGCACACAGCTTTTGTGCTCATCGTCCCAAAAGTGTCACCGTGGTGGAAGGCGGCGCTCGAAAGGTATTAACCCCGATGGGGGGCATCTGTGCCATTGGCACTTTAGGGGACCTTTCTGCCACATCCACTGTTCCCAGTACAGTCGCAGAGTGTCAGTCCTGCAGTTCTGTTCTCACACATCATACCTCATGACCGCTGGGGTCCGCACGTGTCGGCGGGCGGTTTACATGAAACATGCATCTCAGCTCTTGGCGCTGACGGCTCGACCTTTGACCTCGCTGTCGACACATGGCTTGTCCTGTATTGATTTTGACCGCGTTGACATTTCCAGTTGATTTTAGTTACACTTTAAATACAAACTGTACACACAGTTAACCGAAAGCTAATGGGCGCCTGCTTTTCCTGATAATGAAGGTATCGTGTCACTGGTCTTGGTTTTGCATAAAGATCCATTGAGTGACAAAGTTTTCATTTCCCCTTTTTTTCCTCTCTCCTCAGTTGTCCCTGTGAGGAGAGCCCCAAGCGGATTAGACTACATCCAGCCCCCCTCCCCCCCCCCTCCCCCCCCCCTTACTCCCCCACCCCCCATCACCCCCCACAGCACGGTCAGGGAAGCTGAGGTCCCTGTCTTTTCTCTGTCCGGCCGCCGCCACCTCTGCAGCAGCGTGAATTCATGATCACATGACCGTGGATATGGACGCAGTCCTGTCCGACTTTGTCCGCTCCACTGGGGCAGAACCGGGTCTGGCCAGAGACCTGCTGGAAGGTGAGTTGGGGGGTGGGGTACTGGTCACCTGGCAGCCCCCGCGGTCGTTTATGGATGGATGCTCACATCTGCTGGTACCTGGAGTAACAGCTTTCCGCATGTCGCCCCCCCCCCCCCCCCCCCCGACCCATCTCTCCTGTAGGGAAAAACTGGGATCTCACGGCTGCTCTGAGCGACTTCGAGCAGCTGCGGCAGGTGCATGCTGGGAACCTGTCGTACCCATTTGGAGACGAGAGGGACTCCCACCCCCCCGAGAAGGAAGTGGCCAAAGTGGGTCGGCCCCTTCTGCACCGGCAGGATGACGTGATCCAAGGTGCGAATCGGCAGAAAAACAGAAACCGCTTGATTGTAAATCCACTTTATTTGCAGCTGAATGTTTCCATGACAACATTTAAATTGACATTTTTGTCGGCCTACTCTTTTCCTCTTGTTGGTTTTCTCTGCTCCTACTCACTCTGTCTTTCTCTTTATTAATAACTGATCTCTTTAATGACATTGTCTGTCCTCTCTAACCACTGATAACATTTCTTTTGCCTGTCCTCCTTTCCCTCTCCCCGCCTCCCCCGTCCTACGCCTCATTCCTCCCGCCTACGCTGCAGAAAAGCGCCTTTCCAGAGGCATCTCCCACGCCAGCTCCTCCATCGTGTCCTTGGCTCGCTCTCACGTCTCCAGCGTAGGGGGCAGCAGCGAGCCGCTGCTGGACACTCCGCTCTGCACCTTCCAGCTGCCCGACCTCACCGTCTATCGCGACGACTTCCGCAGCTTCATCGAGAGAGACCTCATCGAGCAGTCTATGATGGTGGCTCTGGAGCATGCAGGTGACTGTCTGAGGGGGGGGGGGATCTCGTGTCTGCCTCTGTGGCTCGCACCACCACCCACCTCTGGCTGGCTCTGCCTCTCTTCGCTTAACAGTTAAAAGGAAGGAGACAGGATTTAATAATAATTAATATTAATAGTAATTTTTATATGTAATGTCTATTTTTCACACCCAGTGTGATCTACAATTAAAAACAAAGGAAAAATGTGGCAGTTAATAAAATAAAGTGACAAGACTAAGCAGCCAGTGAAAATACATCAGTGATGAAATAAAAGGCAATAGAGGCTAGAGGCAATGGGAAAAAAAATAAAATCAAAATTTAAAAACCGATAATGGTAATGAACAGATAAATATCTGGCTAAATGGTGGGTTTATAAATAACTCCTATGTTTTTGAATGAGAACATATCGTTCCTTGTGATTTTTCCCCCCAGGTTTTTTTGCGTTCTCGCTTTAGTGGCCTTTGTAAATAGGCAGATGTATCAGGACTTTAACAGGCGTTCCTCTCTCCACCGGTGTGAGCCGCGGATCTGAGGGCCGCGGCGTTATCACCCAGCGTCAGGCTGTAATCTGTCATCGCTTCCTGCAGGCCGTCTGAACTGGTGGACGCGGGTGGGAGCCAGCTGTCAGAGCCTGTTGCCCTTGGCGACGAGCGGGGATGGAAACTGCCTGCTGCACGCGGCCTCTCTGGGTGAGTCATGCCCGCCGTCACCGCCACCGGTCCGTCACGGTCACTCTGTCTGTGTCGGTCCCGTCACGGTCGCTCTGTCTGTGTCGGACCCGTCACGGTCGCTCTGTCTGTGTCGGTCCCGCCACGGTCGCTCTGTCTGTGTCGGTCCCGTCACGGTCGCTCTGTCTGTGTCGGTCCCGCCACGGTCACTCTGTCTGCGTCGGTCCCGCCACGGTCACTCTGTCTGTGTCGGTCCGTCGAATGTTCTAGTTTTGCTGGCCCTGGTACTACAGCTCTAGTCAGTGATGATCGTCGTGGGAGCTTGTTTGTGTGGAGTTACGGATCTGCTGGTTACGGGCCAAATGCTTTACCCACCTTTTGGGAGTGACCTTGAGCCGTGGAGTCCTGTCACTTTTACTGTTTGTTTTTAATTAGTGGCTTATTTACAGGTAGAGTGACTGATTATTCAGACATCGACTCGAAGCAAATTAAAGGCTTAGGTTCTACAGATCAGCACATCCTGCAGAGCTCAAAGGCCATTAGCGGGAGATTTAAAGGCCACCTCTGATGATGTGGGCTGCTGTCACTGTGTCCTCTGGTGTCACCACATGCTTCTGTTCTCCGCAGGAATGTGGGGTTTTCATGACCGTGACTTAATGCTTCGTAAGTCACTGTATGCTCTCATGGACCACGGGCAGGAACGGGAAGCTCTGCGACGGCGCTGGAGGTGGCAACAGACCCAGCAGAACAAAGAGGTGAGGAACCAACCCCCCCCCCCCCCCCCCACCCAGCCACATTCCACCCCCTGATCTCTCCCCCGAGATGCTGCAGCACTTGACTCCGCCCATGTCCACATGTGTCCACAGTCGGGTCTGGTCTACACGGAGGACGAGTGGCAGAAGGAGTGGAACGAACTGCTAAAGCTGGCATCCAGCGAGCCCAGGATACACTACAGCACCAACAGCAGCAACGGCGGCACCGGGTACGAGCAGGGTAGCCACAAAATCTAGTCGTCGTCGTCCCCCCACCTGATTGTGGGAGTTTTACTTGCACAAAAATGTTCTGAGGGCAGAACGAAAAATTATTGGTTGAGATGACCAATCAGATTATAGAGGCGGCGGGCCCAAGACATCTGATTGGCTGGTCCCACCTCCTTTAGTTGCTTGGACCTACCTCCACTACAGTTTGATTGGTTCAGAGAGAAAACCAATCATTTTTGTGTAAGTAAAACTCCCATGAGCCCCCCACCGTGACTAGGGGGTAACCTAGCCCGAGGGGTGTCCAGGGTGCCCCTTTATAGGAGCCTGTTAAGCGGGTCATGGCGTCCTCCCCAAAGATACCGGCTGACGCCAAGCCATTTATGCCAGGTCTGTGCCCTTCTGGAGGGTGAAGGCCTGGTTCAGCTCTCGAGGAGCTGAGGAACGTGGGGCGGGGTGGAGCTGCCCAATGTGTGGCAGAGGCCTGTAATTACGCAGAGCTTCAGCATAGTTTCAGACAGTGTGTGACATTAGGGGTAGGGCTGGAACATGAGGAAGCGCGAGTATTCCGGGTGATTGGAATGAAGTGATCGGGGTGGCACATTCCCAACATGTTGTCGCGGATCGCCCCCCCCCCGCAGGCTGGAGACGGCGGAGGAGCCCGTGTACGAGAGCCTGGAGGAGTTTCACGTCTTCGTGCTGGCTCACGTGCTGCGCCGGGCCATAGTGGTGGTGGCCGACACCATGCTGAGGGACTCCGGGGGGGAGGGTGAGCCGTGCCGCCTTTACAGCCTCGCCCATCCCCCGGGATTAGAGCCGACCACCTTCCGGGCCGGACCCCTACATTAAACCCTGTCAAAAATACACCAAGATTTTAACTTCCATGCATGTTTGTTTTAATTCCTTTCATAACAAAAAACATAGAAATATTAGAAGCTTAAAGTCGCGCCCAAAATGTAATCTTCCTGTAATTTAACGTTAGCTGCTGAAACACTGAGGGAAAGGAAAAACTAGATCCGCAATGCTGTCATTTTTACTTGTTCCATTATACATAATTATTATTAATTAATATTACAAAATGGTTCTTTCCATTCCCTTCTGTGGCCTCTTACTCGCTGACTAACCTGCGTTTACATCCGGCTAAGCGGCTTTGCTCTGTTACATAAGGATGACTGTCCTGATGTCGTGTTTATCCACCCCCCCGCCACACAGCCTTCGCACCCATCCCATTCGGGGGCATCTACCTGCCCCTTGAAGTGCCCGCCGTCAAGTGCCATCGCTCCCCGCTGGTGCTGGCCTACGACCAGGCTCACTTCTCCGCCCTGGTGTCCATGGAGCAGCAGGATAGCACCAAAGACCAAGGTGAGCGAGGTGGTCACCTGCAGAAGCCAGCGATGACCCCCCCCCCCCAAAGGCATTACACTGACCTGAACTCCGCTGTGCCCCTCCTCCCCCAGCTGTGATCCCCCTGACTGACTCGGAGCACAAGATGCTGCCCATCCATTTCGCCGTGGACCCGGGGAGAGACTGGGAGTGGGGCAAGGATGACACTGACAATGTGAAACTGGCCAGGTAGGACGAAGCCAGCCAGGAGCAGGTCGGCGCGTGGCGCACTGAGCATGCCCGGCGGTCAGGCGCACAGAGCATGCCCGGTGGTCAGGCGCACAGAGCATGCCCGGTGGTCAGGCGCACAGAGCATGCCCGGTGGTCAGGCGCACTGAGTATGCCCGGCGGCCCGCCGCACTCAGCACGCTCCGTCCACCTTCACCCAGCCATATGTACAGTCCCTGGCACCGTGGGTGTGTTTGCTCATGGTCAGAAGAGGCCTGTCTGTCAGATTAGCTACCCTGCCGGCTCATTACAGACCTGAGGATTATCTGTAATTAAGTTCAGAGAGGAGACACCAGGCAAAACATGCTCTCGTTAATTAGGTGTGACAGGTCACTGTTTTTGCCTGGATTCATCTCCAGGGCTGTTTTAAATTTCTTTAAATGCAGAAAATTTCCAGTGTTTTTCTAAGTTTATGTTTGGAAATGATATTAAACTTCTTAATAACTGGGTGTCACTGACCCCCTGCACAGCACTACTGTACTAGGAGTTTTAATTAGGCTGTCAATCGGCTCATCGCAGTTTAATTACAGCTGCCTCCCCCACCCTCACAGCGTCACGCTCTCTCTGGAGGCGAAGCTCTACCTGCTGCACAGCTACATGACCGTCACCTGGCTGCCTCTTCCATGTGACACACAGGTAAGCCTCGCCGCGCGTCCTGATTGGCCGAACCATCGACCTCGCGAGCCAGGGGACCAATCAGCTGAGAGGGGTTATAGAAGATGCTTAGAATGCTCTTGGAAAGCAGTTAATGGAGTGTTTGAGATCTTGGCTAATGACTGGGGATGTGGGGGGGCGTCCTGTAGGGCGATCACGAGCCTGCCTCCGCAGTGCTTCTTATCGATCCAAGGTCGATCTGTACAGCCTGGGGCTGATGTGTGTGTGAGGAGCGGCAGTGTGGCGCATCATTAACTTCGGGAAGGTGCATGCTGGGCATTCGCTGCCTCTTAAAAAAAGGTCAAATCTGAGATGCCGGAGAGAGAGGTGCCACGGAGTTCGTTTGGCTCCGCCACTGGAGGTCATCTTGCTCTGAGGATCCTCCTGTAATGGCCGGTCTCACTCTCTGCCCACACAGGCACCCTTGGCACAGCCAGAGTCCCCCTCGGCCTCCACGGGAGAAGACGCCCGCACACCCCCAGACTCGGGAGAGTCCGACAAGGAATCCGTCTGCAGCAGCTCCAACGGGGTGGGCACTGGGGCTGGGGGTGGCGGGGGCAGCGGTAGTGCAGCTTCGAAGACAGGCGGGGGCTCGTCCAGCTCGTCCAGCTCCTCCTCTAGCTCGTCCAGCTCGGGGGGGACAGGCACGAGTGGTAAGGAGAAGGACAAAGAGAAGGGCAGCAAGGACAAAGACAAGGACAAGAAGCGGGCCGATTCCGTGGCCAACAAGCTGGGCAGCTTCGGCAAGAGCCTAGGCAGCAAGTTGAAGAGGAACGTGGGCGGGCTCATGACCAGCAAGGTGGGTGGAGCTGGGGGCGGAGCCAAGCAAGGAGGGGAGGGCCAAGAGAAGAAAAAGAAGGGCTCCTTAAAGGTACGCAAGGGCAGCAAGGATGGTTCGCCGCTCGGCCCACCAGGGAGCGGGGATTCTGGCAAGGGTTCCCCATCTTCGGGCAGCGAGCGGCAGAACGGCGGCGGCACGGCGGAGCCCTACAAGTATGGCACGGACGTGAAGCTGAGCCTGAGCATCCTGCGTGCCGCCATGCAGGGCGAGAGGAAGTTCATCTTCGCCGCCATGCTCACCACCAGCAACCGGCAGCCTTTCCAGGAGGAGATGATCCAGCGCTACCTGGTGGATGCCGAGGAGCGGTTCCGCACAGAGCAGGAACAGCGGCGGGAGGCGGAGCGCAAGGCCAGCATGGGGCAGCCGCCGTCCAATGGGACACCCGTTAAGAAAGACGCGCCAGACCTGGGTTACCGTGGGTACGAGCCCAAAGAGGACCCAGCTGATACGCTGCTGACCCCCTCCTTCACCTACTTGAAGCCGTCGGCCTTTCCTCCCTCCCCCTTCACGATCCCCCGGCCCTCGCTAATCGAACCTGCTCCCGGCTTGCTGACATCACACATACAGCCGCCCACCTACCTGGAGTCCCGGCGGCAGCTGGCCGGCGGTTCCCCAGCATCCTACCCCGGCCTGCCGTCGTACGCTACCCTCCCCCGACACTGCCCCCTGTCACAGGACCCGCCCAGCGCCTTGCCCTCCGTAGCCAGCCCCTCCCACAGTGGTCGGAGCTTCTCCCCCTACCCGTCCGAACGGGACACCATCGACTTCCTGGCGGAGTCCACGTGTGACGCCGGGGGCCTGGTCTACGGGGGCAGGTTCCGGGACGCCCGGTTGGGTTCGGATGGCCGGTGTGTGCCACCACCCGTGCGCCACTACTCCCTGGGCAGTGCGGGCGGCCTGGCGAGCTTACAGCCCACTAAGTGCAAATCTCCCAACTGCAACTTCTACGGGCACCCAGAGACGAGCCACTACTGCTCCTACTGCTACCGGGAGGAGCTGAAGAGGAGAGAGGCAGAAATCCACCGCTTCTGAGCAGACTTGGCACTCCCTGCATCGGCTCCTCCCCCTCCCCATCTGGAGCCCTTTTTTGCTTTTTATCTACCCAGGATCCTTCTGTGCAGCCTCTTTAAGAGAATGCAATAATGATGTAATAAATCCCTCCATTCTCATTGGGTGGAACTTCGGGCCAGTCGCAGCTGGAAGATGCTATCCCTCTTGCTGCACACCTTCCCGTCTGATTTTTGCATCTGATGGCTTCTCAGGGTGTGACCCTGGGCCCTATCCTACCTGCACTCCTGTACAATGGCTCAAGTCCTCTTTAAGATGAGTCTTTTCAAAGTCAGCTGCTTATCTGTGCTCTGCACAGTTCTTAACTAAGCCAGCTTCTGACATTTCACCCGCAAGCTACCCTCTCTGTCTTTGTGTGTGTGTGTGTGTGTGTGTGTGTGTGTGCGTGTGTGTGTGTGTCTGTGTTTCTTGTTTCTCCTACAGAACCAAATGGCAACTGTCTAGGATTTTCTAACACATCTCGTGGGCTCCACCTAGTGGAGAGAAAAAAGAAAATGATCAGCGTACCCACACCCAAACCAAAATGGCAGACTTAATTTCCTTCCCATATTCATCAGTGTATCATGTTTTTCCATATGATACTGTTACAGTGGTCGAGATGGGCTGGCGTTCATACTGATTTCATTTCATTTTGATATCTGACATTCGAAAGGTATATCTTGAGGTCTTTATAAAGATTTCCTGATAAATATGCAAATGAAATATGCCCAATAATTCAATCTAAGGCCACTCAGGTGCTTCGGTTTCACCAGGCACGATTCCCCAGTGTGCTGCTATTACCTTTGAACACATTTCTTCCTGAGCAGGATGCACTTTGATGACACGGTTTGCCCAGCCTCCCAACTCAGACACGTGCCCTGAGCTGCAGCCTCGGTCCACATGCTGAGACCCTTCATTTCAGGCACTGCTGACAATGTCACCTTCAGTCCTGGTCATTCACTCAGTTGTTGGTCCTGGTCCTGGTCCTGGTCCTGATTTGCCAAAAATGTATTTTTATTTCCCAAACTAATCTGTTTCTATATTTTATACCTACATTTATTACATTTTAATTTTTTTGCATCTAAACAACTGAATAGCATTTTGTTGGTTTGTGCAGGCTCCAGGAATTTAGAACTTGAATTTGCACAATGTTTTTACTTTGTACTGTTGGTGGGCAATGCAGTGAGGTGTGTTCATCTGTCTGGGGTTTACTTTCCTTTAGTACTTGGGGTACAACTGTGGCTTTGTTGAAGACCTGCATGGGAAAGATGGTTCTTTACTGGAGATTTGCTACTTTTTAAATTGTGGAGAGGATTGTACTTAGTCTTGTTAAGATTCGATTTTTTTTTTTTTTTTTTTTTTGTGCTGTCCTGTAAATTGTTTTTGTTAAAACACGTCTTGAACAAATTTTCGCTTTGAACTTCAGAATACTGATTGGATCTTAAAATTCGACATGGTTGTAACGTGACATTTCTGATGATGTCTGTAGAAAAGTCTATCCAGACCAACCTATGGCGCGGTTTGCAATCACTTTATCCATATCCGTTATACTGACAACAGTCATGTAAAACATCTCTTCTGTATTCTGCATATAGACTTAATGTAGACACTAATTCTAAACAGATTTAAGCAGTTTTTCATGGACTGTGTGACAAGTGCCGTTTGTCATACCTGTACATGCTGGTCAGTGCACAACTGGGTCAAATTCCTGGCAAAGCAAAGGGTGTCAGATTTACTTAATAGGTCAGCAGCCTCATGGTTATGTAATCCTAATCCCTATTGGATGCCAGTGATGTAATCTGTGGCTCTGTGTTTACAGCACCACTGTGCTGGAGAGTCATAGTATTTCAGTGCAGTGCAGCAATGGTTGAGAGGGTGGTCAAATTAGGGGGAAAGGGCAGACTTGTTTGCAGGATGTGTTTAAAGTATAGTATGGAACTTGACCTAGAATCTGCATCTGCACTTCCATGAATGACCACTGGGAGACGCTTGCCGGTTTTTTGTCCCCCCAGACGTTTCAGCTGTTGATGTGAGAAGAGTCCACTTGCTGTACCCTGATGGCTCTGAGGAGTTTTCTGATCAGGCTGATGTTTCATCGACCCAACAGTGTGCATTGCCTGTCATTCAGAGGACATGCAGTACATGGTAGACGGCTCTCGGTTGAGTATAGTTAGGGAGACACACGATTCAGGAACAGATATACAGGTGTGGTGCAGGCAGAGAGCCTCACGTTCACTGTAGTGTGTGTGTGTGTGTGTGTGTGTGTGTGTGCACGTGCATGCGTGCTTGAGATGTCCATTCAGAAGCTTCTCATGACAGAAGAACCATAGGGATGTGAGCTTCACATTTATGGGACTTCTGCTCCCAGATCCTGATTTATTTTTTTTTCCCTTTACCTTCGAAGCCAGTTAAAGAGCAGAAGACTGAGGCCTGGATTTTTTATAATCTGGGGAAATAAGTGGAGTTTGCTGATTGACCCAGTTTTACATGGGGGGTTGTGAATTCGGCTACTGGTAAATCTGTTATTAAAGTGCTTAAAGGGCCTTGGGGGATGGGGGAGGGTTGGCATAGAAACCCAAAGAAAACTTTTATTGCAAATCAAGTGACTTAAGGTGTAGTGTGGTTGAAAGATTATATTTTCTTAAAGTAAAATATGTAATGCTGTTGAACAAGTGTGGATATTTTCTGGTACATCAAAATATGCATATTATGAACTACATATTGCAAATTACTGAATAATGTGTGTACAAGCAGATCCTTCTGTACAAAAAAAGGTTTAAATTGTCAAAAATTCAAGTGACAACAAACATCATATTATAATAAGTGAAAGTGTGACACAACAATGCTGCCAGCATAGATTTCTATGGTAAATTTAAAGCACAAAATTTGGTTCTATTTAAATATGCAGTTCATTACTTTGTTCAATAGATGGCAGTTTTGCATGGTTGTAATAGTGTGATTAGAGCTGACCAGACGTCCTGAGGAATTCTGTACATTGCTGTGTTTTTACTTTTAAAATTTTTTATTCTGTTGATGAAGTCCTTTTGGGATATTAACCCCCGGTCATGCAAGAAAGAATATAATAAATGATTAATTATCTGGTAATTTATAATAAAAGTGCCCCTTAAAATGCAATTATTCCAGTTTTCCTCAGAATTGACATTGTATGTAAGATGACTTTAAAAAAAAAAAAAAAAAGTAACCCAACTGTAATTCCAAGAGTGTTTTGTGTGTGTGAGTGTTTGAGTCAGATGTGCAACATCTATTCAGTACAGAAACGTTATGAGGGTTTTGGAGATGTGAGGGTTCCGGGCAGAAGAAGCACAAGGGCTCAGTGTGTGACTTAAGTTATTAAAAATGTATTTTATTCTTGTACATTTGTTGTTTCTCACTACATCTAACAGCAACTTCTCTGTTTATTTAAAGAACCAAGAAATTGAAATTCTGTTTCAGTGCTTTGGACTTAAACGATATTTCTAACCTTTTTTTGTAATTTTAAGAGGAGGAGGGAAGCTGTACAAATCTGTATCTTCAAGTTATTTTTTTAAATGACAAAGTTTTTCAATGTTTTTAAAGATTGAATAGAATGTATATTGTTGGACATTTAAAAAGGACAAAAAATAAGCTTGTGTTTTAATAGCTTGGACTTGAAGTGAAAGCAAGTATTTGGGATGGACTCTGGCTTTTAAATAAGTCTAACAGAAGACTCTTCAACACAAATGTTTTCAGTGAACAAACTCCTTTGCTCATCAATAATCTGACAGGCTGAACTGGTATGAGAGTATATATATTTATAGTAAGATTTTTTCCACAGTTTCAGTTTTAGTTCATACAATGTGGGTGTTCTTTCCTGTGCGGCTCATTGTCAAACTGACCTCTCGTGTCTATTTTCATCCCCGTTTATTTTTCAAGCACATTTTAAATCTACTCACCACTTTAATTGTTAAATGTGATGTTAAAACATGCCATGTCAGTAGTGATTATCATAGGAATTAACAATGGCCATTCTGAACAGGCAGTGTCGCAATATATATAATTATATATATTTTTGGCTGATAGCTTCATCAGACTTGAAAATGCTGAATTTGAATAGCAGATTACAAGACCATTGAGCCCTTAATGTTGATTGTACTAGCAATAAAGCTTCGAAATATCTACCTGTTAGTGTTTAATAACTTTCTTGTCCTGATAGAGGTTTGAACTGTGAGGCAATGCTGCCCGAGGGGAGAGAACACCCAGTTTACGTCCTCAAAGTGTTTTGCACCGTTTGAATAAATTCTCATTTTATTTCAGTACTGCTGTCATTTACTCTGCTGCTGTGTGTGTGTGTGCATGTGTGTGTGTTGGGGGGAATTGGAATCATTTTTCCTTTTGATAGAGTAATGTATTAATAAATTGGTCAAATTAGCAGCACTGAATTTTGCTCACTCGGTATGACTTCCTCCAAAAAGCATGACACACATGCCTTTTAAATCGTTACATTACGCAGTCAGCATTACCCACTCTCTTGCATACTTTCAGCTTGCCTAGTGACACTTGTGGCAGTGACCCCTTTGCCTAGGAAATCCCGCAGATTGTAGCTGATTAAATTCCCTGCTCATGCTTTGGAATCAGTTGAACGCAACGTCATCGTGAATGTCACACCAACGCAGAGGGATCCGGTGACCTTTTTCCAAGGGTTCTTCCAGTAGATGTCATTCAGGTTGAAACACTCGTCACCAAAAATAGCCCTTTCTCTTACTTAACCGGATAACGTGTCGGACTTCAGGTAGTTTGACCTACGTGTGGGGTGGCACGGTGGCGCAAAGCAGGACACGGTTGCCCCCCACCCCCCACTTCTATGACTAGAGTTGGAGTTTTTGCCATGGCTCCAAATGTGTGAAGTTTGCATGCTCTATTACCTCGTTTCCACTGCTGGGCTGGTTCTCGCATGGTGCCTTTGAGAACCGGTGTCCCGTTTTGATCGCAGTTGATCTCCCCAATAACTAAACGACTTGTTCATCCACCATTGTTTTGAGGTGGCTGTGTAGTTTCATATGAAATTGCGTGTAAAGTTTAACCTACGAGCCTTGCGTCTCCCATGCTTATTTAGCATAAAGGTCCCAGTTCCTGTGCGTTGGGAAATCGACAGACAAAATTGGCTACTTATTCGCAGCTACTTATTTGGATTTTTCCGGTCCACCTTAAATGCTTCTTTTTTTTCAGCTACTTCTAGAGCCCCCTGCTCCTTCATTTCAAAACGTCCCAAAAATCTGCCATTACCATCTTATAGTAGGTATAACAGAGTGTATGTAGACTTATTTTGGTGAATTTTTACTGTAGCATTTTCTCATAATCACCTCCTAAACTTGGCACCAACACTCCATTCTCTATGGGTCTCAATGCATTTCTGAGCAATTACATCCCAGCTTTCTTTAGGTGCCCGAGGAAGTGCAGTCGTTGGTGTGCCTTTTTAGTGACGGCTGCTGCATGCACAGCTGGCTTGAGGCTCTGGCACTAAGGGTCACCCCATGGAACCTGAAGCTGCAGACTCTCTCCTCAGCATCTCTTCCAATGTGAATGGGAGCTGAATGATCCAAACCATGTGCAATTGTAGTCCTCTCCACTGCTGCTACAATATTGCACAACTATTCAACATATCTGTACATATTTTAATATTGATTGTAGTTTTCCTTCTTCTGACTGCTGATACATTTTGCATATATTACATATAAATAAGTCTACATACACTCTGTTACACCTACTATAAGATGGCAATGGCAGATTTATTGGACGTTTTGAAATGAAGGAGCAGGGGCCTGTACAAATAGCTGAAAAATGCAATCCAACCCATATAGGGTGGCAAGTTTAGGAGGTGATTATTAAAAAATGCTACAGTAAAAGTTCACGAAAATAAGTCTGCTTACACTCTGCTATACCTACTATAAGATGGTAATGGCAGACTTTGGGACGTTTTGAAATGAAGGAGCAGGGGCCTGTAAAAAGAGCTGAAAAAAGGAAGCATTTAAGGTGGACCGGAAAAATCCGAATAAGTAGCTGCGAATAAGTAGCCAACTTCAGCCTCGTCAAAAGTTCCAGTTGTGAAAGCACCCTTTTGATGGTTTCCATTTTTTCAATCACTCCCCAGGGACGGAGGCAAGTTTAATAGCACAAATCTACAATTTCGTCCTCTCTCGGTTCTCTTATTCCATCATAAACCTAAGATTAGCTACATCAAAAGCATTGGGGTTGTTTGCAAACCCTACAGACTATTTACAAGATAATAAATCTGTTACATACATGTAAATGCGTGTGCAGACTTGTCTCGAACTGAAAATCTGACTTCAGCCAGCTAACCAAAGTCGACAACTATAACTCCTCGTTTTACACTACAGGTGGGCGTCACGTGAAAACTCTCAACCAGCACTAGATTATATTGAAGTGCTTTTTAGACTTAATATGAAATTATGTGTGTAGGCTAATGTAGCTAACTTAAGTAAAGTACATAATTCAATGGTTTATTCAATGAAAAGTTTCCTTCTAATTTACCATAAGAGAGGAAAGGAAAAACTATAGTATATCTTGATAACAAATATTCGCTTTCAAAATTAATGATAATTAATTAGTTATATTATTTTATCTGCGCTGAATCCTGATTGGTTAAACTGTATCACATGATGAGCTAACTGATTCACGGTACATAAAAGCGTATGAGCACGCTCCCTCATTATTGCTTTCTCCTGTCCGGATAATGGTATATCTTAGGGGTGGACGGCTTTGGGTCCGCGCTGCGGTCTTTTTTATTGTTTTTATGGGAACTTTCGCTCAAATCACGTCGCTGAAAGAGTCCATGCAATCTAATGATAAATGCCAGGTTTACGAAAAAATACCGTGTGGCGTCCCGGCTACTAGTAGCACCGATTGCGACGCTTTAAACTGCTGTTTCGATGGTCAGAACTGTTATTACGGGAACGCAGGTGGGTTTTCGATAGAAATTCAGTCATGCATGTTTCAGCTCAAAACTGTAAGTGATTCTACCTTGACTGGCTTGTGACTTCTAAATCTCTTCAGTAACTGTGCAGTGCACCAGGGACGGGCAGTTTGTAGTTGTGGTACCCACGAGTTCCACTGTGCCCCAGCTTGATGTGGGTTCCCTTATATTGCGGGATGGCAAACAACAAGCACCTTGTCTCCCTGTTGCTACTACTAACTATTTTGCCATCTACAACTTCCCAGTCACTGCCTGTGGCACCACAACTACTGTAAGTACCACAAATCAAATGGCACTTGTGTTCTTTACTGTGCTGTTGGTAAAGCTCTGGCATCTGTTTTAGGTGCAGGGAGATGCTGTAGTATATGAGAACAGGATGTTCTCCTCTTTTGAAGTTGTGGTTGGACCCCTAGGCTCCATCACAAGAGACCCAGCCTTCCTGTAAGTATGGTCTTTGAGCCCATCTCCATGACTGATGACTAAACTGATGGCGTTGTCTCTAGTCTGCTGTTCCAGTGCAAGTACAATGGCTCTGATGTGGTTTCCCTGGTGGCTGAGATGAACACGGTGGCACCACCCCTTCCAGTAACTGCTCCAGGGCCCCTCAGGGTAGAGCTGAGGATTGCCAATGGCCAGTGCGCCTCAAAAGGCTGCAGTGAAGGTGCTGTGATGGTCTTGGTGCTTCCCTGTGTGCCTCTGATTTCTGTAGTAATCGCCATCCCTGGCTCCATGCAGGAGACTCTGCATATACGTCGTACTACCAGGCAACTGACTACCCTGTTACCAAGGTTTTGCGGCAGCCTGTGTATGTTGAGGTGCACATCTTGGAAAGGACGGACCCCAACATTGTCTTGCTTCTGGAGAGCTGCTGGGCCACAGCCACCCCAAACCCCCTCAGCACACCCCTATGGAGCCTCTTGGTTAATGGGTGAGCAACCGGCTGTCTAGTCAAGGCTGTGTTCTGGTCTTCTGCTTACTATAGGTGGGCATGTGCAGGTGTCCCAACCAGAGTGACAAGTACATAACCACCTTGGTTCCTGTAAATGCATCTTCTGGGCTTCCCTTCCCAACCCACTACAAGAGGTTTGTGGTCCAGATGTTCACCTTTGTGGATGCTCTCTCCACGGCATACCTGAAGGAGAAGGTATGGACCATTACCGGCTGGCCTTCAGGCTCAGAAAAGGATTGCTGTAATTCTTGCATGTTCTCCTGACAGGTATTCATCCACTGCAGTGCTGCAGTGTGCACCCCGTCTGCCAGTGACAGCTGTGCACAGAGCTGCTCCCGGAAACGTAAGCTTTATGGCAGGGGGACCGAGTTGCACTGCAGAATTGCAGTGTCTTGCTGCCAGCCCTCCCCTCATAGCCGTCTCCTTCCAGGGAGAGCTGTACGGCACATCCCCAGCCGTGAGAAGACCCTGGTCTCCAGCGGCCAGTTCAATGTTATTCCTGAGCCTCCAGCCCCAATTAAGCAGCAGCATAATGGTGAGGCTGTACTGTGGGTTGATGGCCTGACCTGATCAAGCCAGGAATGTAACTGGTGTCTTCTGTTGACAGTGCCCAAGTCACTTGGCTATACTGTGTGGGGAACGGCAGGTGTTGCTGTGCTGGGAACAGTGGCCTTGGTGGGAGCTGCTGTTTGGCGTTCACGACATCTGCAACGGCAGTAAAACTGATATCAATAAGATGGATGTCAATAAATGAGTTTTCTTTATTGTAGTTGCCTTGTGCATTTTTACCAGTTTCAACTAGAGCTGGGAAATGTAACTTGACCCTAATATTAATGCATGTGGCATGTCACTGTCGCATTGTGATAGCAGGGATGTTTCTAACAAACCTGAAATCCTTTGTGGTTCTTAAGGCCGTTTAGGATTATGCTGCTACAGAGTCCACATCTATAATCAAAACCCACTGTCCCATGGGACAGCTTGTCTGCTTAAATTGCCATAAGAAACTATAATTTGCAGAACTCTAAAGACCATGATTCAGGGTTTTGTTTTTTTTTTTTTTTGTTAAATCCTGACATTTCTATTTCCTGCCACCCAACAGTTTTCTGATGGGTTACAGTGGCAGCTGTCTGCACAGGGATGCCCAGACCTCCCTCTTGAGCTCTGGGTCTGTCTCTGTGTTAGACATGTTCAAAGCACCTTGTCTGCTGAGTATGATGGACCTATCTGACCATGTGAATTTTCTACTGCTCAGCAGACTGCCATGTTCTTTGCACCTGTTTACCCTCAAATGTACATTACTGCCAACCTTATCCACAGCAGTAAATCTGACAATCTAAGTGACATCGTTTTATAACGCCAATAGTAGGTAAAGT